TGAATAAGCCTAGTTGTATTAAGTATATATCATGAAATTTTAAGACACCAAGATTTTGAAAGATTGGATCAGTATGTGCATCGAAAGTGGTTTTTGATAATAATAATAATAACACGTAAATGCTGTCAAACATCAGAAAAAATCTGCTAGTCTCCGGTTTTTCCTGAAGGATTTGTAAGGCTTATTTGATAGTCAAAAGTCGCAGGAAAATCGATCTAAAAATAAACTGTTCTGTAAGAAGGGGGACCGTTGCACGGGCTCAAGGGAATTACTTGCTCCGGGTTATGGGCACCTGATGAAGGATAGAGATTAGTCGTCACAAGTCACCACAGGACAGCCACTCTGTTTGGGTAGCACAAGGACAACTTCGTAAAAGCGCATGCTCATTGGTGTTGTAATCTCATAGGTTACGCCACTCATATGGTTGGTAAATGGCATCTTGGTTTCTTTGAGTGGTCATACACTCCGACCTACCGCGGTTTCGAGTCTTTTTATGGGTTCTACACGGACATGGAGGATCACTTCGAGCATGAACGTCTCGGGATTCTGGATTTACGGGACGATACCCTCCTGTGCGGGACATGAATGGGACATTCTCAGCCAACCTCTTCACCAAGGTAGGAAAGAAAAAAACGAAACAATGAAGAAAGTAAATCGAATAAAAAAAAAAAAAAAGCAATAAACCAAACTTCAGGGTGGAGAACAAGTCGTTTCGTTTTTTTTTTTTTTTTTTCGTTTTTAGACCTAATAGCTGTTAAGATTTTTAAAGATGATGTTGAACAAAACCAATTTGTTTATGTACAGATTATCTGGAAACGCGGTACAGTCGGATCTACCAGCCAACTTTCTTTCTGTTTAACGGGAAGTCCTAAACGAGAAATTGTGCCGGTTTTTCTGTTAACCGCCGTAAGCTTATGTTTGCTTATCGGGCCTGGACGAGCTGTTGAGCACTATTAAATATTAGTAAAATCCAACTAGTGGTCTATTATCAATGCTGCGTTCTGATTGGTTGAGCTACTACTAGGCTATATGTTATAGCCCACTAGTAGCAAAAAGCGCCGGCCTTGAAAAGCAAAACAATGGTGGCTGAATCACTCTTGTTAGCTAAAGTTGTCTTGTCTCGATATTTTTGACCAACTAGTCGGATTTTACTAAAATAATTATTCCTCTCGCCCTCATGGCCTCTGAGTCAAAAACAATTATTCCTCGAGCCTGAATGGGCTCTGAGCAAGAGACTATAAAGGGCACAGAGAGGGCATCCCCCATATACACCCTATTCCATAGGTAATTCGTCTCGAGTTATTTTTAACACCACAGATCTCAAGGGGGATTAGACAACAGCCAATCACATAGCGCGAATGTGTTCCGAGCCACGCGTCCTTCACGAAATGACGCAGAACAAAATGGGGGAAGACGCGGAGAGCGATTTTGCTATTCCTTTTGTCGACGAAAACGACTACAGCGAGATTTCTGCGAAAGCTGTGTCAGCGAAACCGAAATTTAAAAAGAATCGCCCTTCCTCTCTTGTATAGAGCTAACAGTAGAGCAGGGAAATCCTTAACACACTGAATATTCTCTCAGGATCATTTATAATTTACAGTTTGAAGAGAAAAATTTCTGGTTTGATGTTTATTTTTTTCAGTCTTTATAGCGATTATTCCTACCCACTTTGTCAATTGTAGGCGAACCCTCCTAAAGCTGAATTTCAAGGGACCATATTCAAGCTCAGAAAGAGAAATAAAATTTCGTCGTTGCTTATTTACGTCCTCCATAAAACGCGAAATTAGGCATTTTCACGTCGCAGTCGTGCAAAAACGGGAAAGAAATGAACAAAAAAGTGTGTTGCACGTGCGAAGTTGTTGTTTTGCTAATTAAACCCAATGTTTTTTTGACGTTCTAGTTGTCGTCCGCGTCGTTGGATCTTAAACTTCCTAAATTGTACAAACGACCGGTTTCAATAGACCGGCGAAATTTCTCATTTTATTAAAGCACTGAGGTTACGACAACTTCGAGTTAAACTGATTTCACGGGTTGTCAAAGAGTCCAGCGATTCCTTTTTCCCAGGTGAGCGCCGACTCATTTCGCTTCAATATTCAGGAATGCTCTCGATCTTTTTCCGCTTTCATTGCCTCTCGCCCGACATGTTTTGCACGGCGTTTGGTCATGCAAAACCTCCACGAAACATCCACGCCTCGCGCGAGGTAACTTTATCCCGATTCTAAAAATAACTCGAGACGAATTACCTATGGAATAGGGTGTATATGGGGGATGCCCTCTCTGTCCCCTTTATGGTCTCTTGGCTCTGAGTCAACAGCCCATTCGGCCTTAGGCCTCATGGGCTATTGACTCAGAGGCCATTCGGGCTCGAGGAATAATATTTGATAGTAAAGTTTACTACAACGTACTGTTTTTGTCCTCTAGGGTTAGACCTAAGACAGAGTATGCATTACATTTTCCGCTACGAATTACTATATAATTTAGTGTACACAATTCAAACTGTGGCAAGTAAAGACAAGCCCGTTCACATCTCTTACATCTTAATTCTCATACAAAGCAAGCAGTTCAAGTTATCAAGGAGCACAATTCTTCAAGGCCTCTCTTCCTGTACTTGCCGTTTCAAAATGTTCATGATCCGGTTCAAGCACCTCAAAAATACATTGAAAAATACAGCGTCATCGAAAACAAGACGAGGAGGACGTATGCAGCCATGCTGGATATTGTCGATGAAGCTATTGGTAACGTGACAAGGAGCTTAGAAAAGCAGGGTAATATACATTGGTTTCCTTTATTTTCAGCTCAGTTCGCAGAGCGCCGGTTTGCCGCACCGCGTAAGCAGTGATTCGAACCGCAAACAGAAGCTAAAACAACCGAAGTCTTATGAATCTTGGCTAGTGAGGACGTACTGGTTGTGATGTACTTCAATTCAGTCCATACTGCTTTCGAGAGAGAAGGTGGCGTAGAGTCCGGTTGCCTGGTATAAATCAGTCCTCTCTACGGCATATATTGTGGGGGCTTGCCTCGTCGGTATTGTACTTCAAGACCCTAAAAGTGCCCCTGACATAACTTTACTATACCAAATTATAAAATAACTAAGATAGTACGCGCGCTCTGATTGGCCGAGAGGAGTGTTTGCATGAGAGTATGTTAAACATGGTTGTGGCGTCAAGATGTTTTGCTTTTCGCGCGCTAATCACGCAAGCACGAATTTGAAAAAGTTTTCGAGTTCAAAACTCGACAAGTTTACTTTATTTACCCATTCCTTGGTCGGCTGAAACTTGGAAAATCGTTACAAAGAAAGTGTGTCAATTTTTTTTCGCTTAAGCTGACATTTTAAGCGAGAAAAGTCCGTATTTTGGAAAGCATCCTTTTGCAAAACAAGAACTGATTACGCGTGCAAGACTTCGTGGACAAGACTTTGCGACTGGTAAGAATTTCTCTTTTAATCAGTGCCATAAAAAGAGAGTTGCGTCTTTTCTCGGGAAATTTATTTTACAAAAGCAATAGAAAACTTTTTTCCTGTGTTTGCATAGCCTGATGTAAATACTCGGGGGCGTTGGGAGAATTCTCGACAGTTGTGCAAACCCTCGACTTCGTCTCGGGTTTGCATAACTGTCTCGAATTCTCCCAACCCCTCTCGTGTTTATATCAGGCTATGCAAACACGGAAAACGTTTTCTATGTTAAATGAAACACCAATTGAATCAGACGGTCCAGTATCTCTTTATATTCTATTTTTGATGACCCAAAACTGAAACGTTTGCGAAAATGTTGAAGTAATTGTCAATTATACTGGCCATCGTCGACGGTATACTCTGCGTATTTAAAAAGATGTGCTACGTAATTGATAGGCACTGTACCACTAGCGAAGGCAGGAAATAAATGCATGATATCATTATCAATTATCCTTTTACCGCAGCCTTTGGGACAACACTTTGTTCATCTTCACCACTGACAATGGAGGGCTTCCTAAGTCAGGAGGTTATAACTGGCCTTTGCGCGGACAGAAGGGAAGTCTCTGGGAGGGAGGAGTACGTGGGGTGGCATTTGTCCATGGGCCAATGCTGAAGAAAACAGGCGTGAAAAGTAAAAGAATTGCTTCACTCCACGGACTGGTATCCCACACTGATCAACCTCGCAGGTAAGAAGGAGGGAGGGAGGGGTCCGAGGGGGTGGCTTTTGTCCATCAGCCAATGTTTAAGAAAAGAGGCGTCAAAAGAAAGGATGCAGAGTAGTGCTTCACTCCACGGACTGGTATCCTACACTTATCAATTGTGGTAATAGTTAGACATTGTCAGTCCAAGTGCGAAAACACTGTGGGCCAGTTATTTAAACGGAGTTTAGCCAGTGCCAGTTTGCCGAACCCTTTATGTAAACACCATTTATTGTCAACAGTGTCATGAAAGCATATAGCGTAGACTAGAAAAGCGTTTGTCCTCTTAAAATAACCCGCCGAGGAAGAAGAGATCTGGAGGTCCGAAGGTTTCCTAAACTGAGTCAATAGTCCATTCGGCCTTCGGCCTCATGTGCTATTGACTCAGAGGCTATGAGGGCGAGAGGAATAATTGTTAAATATTAAAGATGTAGAAAGGGTAGGATCGCAGGCTAACTATCGTCGATGTAGCAGGACAAAATACGAAAATATTGTGAATCCAGTTTTATCGAACGTAAGACATAATCAAGACCTTGATTCTTTTAGGAGGAAAAGTCGATAATAATCCTGTACCAGTAGACGGCTTTGATGTATGGGAGACAATTTCTGCAGGCAAGCCATCTCCAAGAACTGAAATACTCCTGAACATCGACTTAGCACCAAAGAAGAAGCGTTACCGAGGCGATTATGAGGGCGCAGCAATTCGTGTTGCAGGAGGAAAAGTCGATAATAATCCTGTACCAGTAGACGGCTTTGATGTATGGGAGACAATTTCTACAGGCAAGCCGTCTCCAAGAACTGAAATTCTCCTGAACATCGACTTAGCACCGAAGGAGAAGCGTTACCGAGGGATGGAGTCTATTGACCCCTATTATCAGGGCGCGGCAATTCGTGTTGCAGATATGAAGCTATTGGTGAGCTGTCCGAATTCCACTTGGTTCAAGCCACCAGAACTTTATAACAAAGAAATGGTTAGTAACTAAAGGTCTTTCATGAATATTTTTGATGAACATAATCTCAATTCCCTACACGAATCGAATCCATAACTTCCCAAACACTGGGTGACCGCTCTATCCACTTAGTTTCGAAGAAATTCATGAAGCCCAAAGCCAATTACTGGGTGCTTACTTTCGAGTTTTTACTGTGTCATGCATAGCGAAAGGATCAGCGATGTCGACGGCGTACCTATTTTACGGTCATAAACAGAGAGAAAGGAAATGAACAGAGAAAAAAGGAAAACGTTATTCTCGTTAAAAAGTAAGAGGCCCTCTAGGTGGTGGTGTGAAGTTTTCGTTGCCATGCACGGGGTGAAAAAAGTTGATATATCTCCAACAATTGAAACTCTCTTGTTTTCCCTTGAGTTAGGAGACAACGGATGTTACTAAAACGAGGAACGTGGAGCGGGGAACGGGGAACGGGGAACGGGGAACGGGGAACGGGGAACGGGGAACGATCACGAGGAACGAAATGAAACATTGAAACAAAACCCTAGCCTTGAACCCTAGCCCTATCAATAACTTCATTTCATATTCTCTGCATTGTTCCGATTTTTCAATTTCCCCTTCTCCGTGCTCGTTTAGGCCCCGCTCCCCGTTTTAGTAACATCCGGGGTCAACGTACGGTGGCAACTAATCCGTGTATTGCCGTTTTTGTCATTTGTTCTGATGTTGACAAAGGACGGGCACCTTATTACATGAAATTTTCGCGACACGTTAATTTCACGAATTTCGCGATACAAAAAATGGCGAAATTAAAGTGACGCGAACAATAAGTGTCGCGCACATAACATGACGCGAAAATTAAGTGACTGACATCATGTCCATAATTAAGAAAGAACAAGTTTATTACCACTGAAACGTTTACAAGATCTGAGGAATTTTCAGTGTAAATGGATGTTGTAGTCAATTGACTCAAGAACGATAATTCACGTACAAGCATGAAATGCTTGTGGACATAGTGAGAACTGCTTTGTTACTGTTAAGGATATAAGAAATAAATCATAAATGAACTGCGGAAATGAAATGAAAATGAAGAAATGATCTTCGCAGTGAACGCAATTTATGCAGTTGGGTAAAGAAGCCTGAAAAAAAAATCAGGACTTCAACGGGGTTTCAACCCGTGACCTCGCGATTACCAATGCGATGCTCTACCAATTGAGCTATGGAGCCACTGACGTTGGGAGCAGGTCAGGTGACTGTTGACACTAGCCTCACTGTTGCATTTTTCTTACTTTTGACGTTGTTGTTCCTTTGGTAAAGGAATTATATTTAATTCAAGGAGATGTTAAATGACATTGCCTGTAAAATGTAAATTATTGTACTCAAAAATGCGAAATTAAAGTGATTCAAAATATAAAATTTTCAGAAAATCCCGAAATTTAAGTGTCGCGAAATATGCGCACATCAAAATTGCGAGGTAAACATGTCGCCAAAATTTAATGTAAGTGGTTATCTCTTTTTACCATTTTCAGAATTCTCAAGTGAAAGGTTTTATTGAAGTTGCTCTTTACAATATCACAGCTGATCCTACAGAACACAATGATTTGAGCCAAAAATTGCCTGACGTCGTCCAAAAATTGCAAGAGAGACTGGAGTTTTACAAACGTAGCGCCGTAACCCCTCTAAACAAGCCCGCAGACAGCCAGGCTTGGGATGTTGCGCGGAAGGATGGCATTTGGACGCCTTGGAGAAGCACAGTGGACGAGAAAGCCTAATAAACATGAGATTTAAGAGGGAACTTGTACGGCATTTGAGGTGTTAAGTATGGGATTGTCTCAGGTTAACAAATACCGTAAAATTCCGAAAATAAGCCTCTCCATGTATAAGCCCCTCCAAATATAAGCCCCCCGAACCGGTAACGCAAAACACCCTCCGTTAAATCGACCCTCCAAATATAAGTCCTCCGGGGGCTTGCACTTGGAAAATTGCCCTCGAATACAACGTAAAACAAAGCAAAAACGGTAAATTTACTTCCAACTGTAAGGTGGCGGTTTTGAAACGCAAATTTCCCTCCGTAGATAAGCCCCTGCGAATATAAGTCCCTCCAAAAATAAGCCCCTCAAAAAGGGCCTTTGAAAAATATAAGCCCCGGGGCTTATTTTCGGAATTTTTCGGTATTTACTAAAACAGTGGGTATAATATGAGGAAGGGTGAATGTAAATTGGGAAATGTTATCAGGGTTTAAGTAGCCCGAATGAACATTGTGGTGCTTTTTAAATTTGTTCACGCCTTAAACAGGGCGCTTGTTCGAGGGTGGCTTTTATTTGAAAGTTGGGCGCCACAGAAAAGTAGACATAAACACAGAAGAACACTTAATACCAAACAGTGAATTAAGAACACGCAACAGCCATGCTTTTAAGTATAGAATGCCAAGAGTTTGTAAGGACGTCTTTAAGTTTTCCTTTTCTCCTAGATCAATAACAGAGTGGAACACACCGTCCGCTGACTTAGTGAATTGCAAGTCATCATCTTTGTCGTTGTTGTTGCACGACTACGACGTGAAACTTGGCAAACTTTCTAGTTAATACACGTTTTATGGATGAAATGTGTATGTGCTGAAAAAAGACTTTGTTGCTTTTGTTCCTGTTCGCTTTTATCTTCACTGCCGCTTATTTTCGCCCAGCTGGTCGCTAGCATTTCTCATTTTGAATTTCTCACCACCAATATAAAATTTTCATGTTGTCCTTGTAACGAAATACGTCTCCTTTGTCTTTTATCTCTCGCTTTAGCTCTTTCTCTGTTATCCCCCTTAGTGTAAACATAATTAAAATTTAGTCGAAAAAAGACTCGGCTTTGTTTTATTTTCCTCTCTAAAAGTCCGGATGGTCATGCGATTTACCGCCAAAACGCAAGGGTGATAGGATGAGAGATTTCACAACGACTTACATGTAGGGGCTGACATATGGACTGACGGACGGTCGGACGATCACGTGATTACTAAAATTTCTCGCGTTTATAGCTTACCATATTTTCTTACCCATGGTGCTCCGCTGCGCGTGCTTCGCGCGCGAGAGAGCTCCGCTAAAAAGGATTAAATTATATTTGAAGTATTTGTTTTTTTGCATAAAAAAGCTTAATGTTGTTTTGTTGTGCTTTTCAAATAAATCCAGCTTGTTCAAGAGCTTCTGTCTTCAGTTTTGCCAGTCGATCCCGTAACATACATTATGAGAAACATAAATTTTTTTGTTAAAATCTGCATTTGTTACCAGGCGTGAAACCCGTAACTTCAAGCTCCACTAAGCGAAAGTTGAATACGCTGGTGGTTGTAGATTTCAGATTCATCTCTGCATTCTTGCATGCGTAATAAGCCGTGAATATTTGGTGATTACAGGAATCGGTGCTGAAGCGAACAACAAAAACAGCCAGCATCAGAATAAGTAAAAAGAAGTATTTTCAAAACAAATTGCCTGACCACTTCAAAACAAAAAAGCCAGATTATGCTAGCGGTGCTAAATTAAGATAAAAGCCAAAAGTTACGCTCGGTTTGCCAAATTATGCCAAAAATTAGAGTAGTTCTGAGTGACAAATAGAAAGAGTCACATGGTAGTCACGTGTTCCGAGCTTGAGACCACTTACCGCTGATGCATAGATCCAGAGTGTTTCATATTTCTGTAATGAACAATCGATGCTTCGCTTTTTCTGGTTTGCCTTCTTTTTTATTGCTGTCGTTTTGGAGACAGCAAATGGTTCCAAGCCTCCTAACATAGTACTGACTGTAATTGATGATCTGGGTTGGAGTGATGTGGGATTTCAAGGATCTGTTATTCATACTCCAAACATCAACAGACTGGCAGCTGAGGGCGTCATATTGGACAACTACTATGTACAACCTCTATGTACGCCAACCCGAAGTACCCTGATGACTGGAAGGTACCCCATACATACAGGTGACAAGACAAGAGCTTAATTTATTTGGGGTCTTATACCAGCTTGTACATCGACTTCTTTTAAACATGATAATTTAAAATTACAATCTTCTACGTTAAGCTATTTATTACACTATACCAAACAAGTTATTACAACTAGCGATAGTTACATACGCACAGGCGGACACATAGTTTGAGCTACATTTTGTCTTCCTTTTCGTTTCTTCTTTAAAGTATTCAAACACATGCTTCGCTATCAAGTTTTGGCTTTCAGGCTTCTCGTTGGGGGATTTATTAAAAACATGAATATTTCATTTGGCAAAATTTTTTCACTCATAACATATTCATTTCAATCATTTTTTTTTTTCAGTTCCCCTGTGTAGCGAGATTAAAATTTCCATATGGGCTCAAAATTATTCTTGTCTTAAGGTGATCCTGAATTGAACGATAGATTCACCGTAGACGTTATTAGTTATTCATAACCGCCGGAGCAGCAAATTCAAATGCAGGAGCGCCTTGAAAAAGCTCCGAATGAGAGAAGAAAAGGTATCATTTGGCCCACCAGCGTCGATAAAACTCATTCGTGCGACTTTGTTAGCCTCAAAATTACAAATACATGAACGGAATATTGAAAATGAATGATATATCTACGATTTACAGTCAAGCCAGGTCAAGCGTACCCCGCAAGATGCCATTAATGAATTTATTACTCGAAAGTTGAATACGTTGGTGGTTGTAGATTTCAGATTCATCTCTGCATTCTCGCATGCGTAATAAGCCGTGAATTCACACGCGAGGCAATTACGACATTTCTACCGGCTCAGTTTCCCTAAATTTGATGTGATTGTCTTCTAAGAAACAGTCTGAAGAAATTTAATCCATTCAAAAATTTTTCTCTCACTGGATACAGAGAAGTTGTCGTAAAATATTCACTGCTATTACGTATGAGGGAAAGCCCATTTGAATTTGACACTAGTTACCGGAACGACTAATGGATTCATTTTTCAAATAATCAATTCATTAATAGAAACTTGGGGGTACGCTTGACCTGCTTCGACTGTAAGTAAAAACGATATGCGTTTCACGAAGTGGAAGGACTATCTATCTCTCTCTGAACTTGAAAATTGCTAAAAAAAAAAAAAAACAAAAACAACGGACATTTTCTGTACATAGTGGAAGCTGACTTTGGGCTCGATTTTCTGGAAACCAGTGACAAGATCCTCAAATCCACGAACGGAATGTATCAGACTGGTCTTTTCTTAAGCAAAATACGTTTAAGCTTTTAAAATTTATTCCAAGCGAAACCGAGGCGCCTCGCTTGCCTAGGGTCAGCACTCGTTAACATCCGTCGAAAGGCCCTCTTATCTTCGGTCGGATTTCGTAAACGTATGACGTCACCCTCGCCTCGTGGTTCCGGCTGTGACTCATGTAAGCTTCGTTTGTCTGATGATCTGATGTTTGTTTCGACGTCTTGTCTTGCTTTTTCGATCATTCCTCGATTGATTCAACCAAGAGGATGCCGCTGCATCTGTTTGGAAAGGATATTTTAATGTTTCACCTCGATCAAGCCTCTTAGCGCATCAAAAAGATCCTTTCAGCGCATGTTACTGAGTAACATCCCTTGAATGGCCCCGGATCGAATTGCATTCACGAAGAATTACACGAACAAGCAAATAAAACTCAAATGAACCGCTGCCTCACTTAACAACTTTTACAAATATTGGCGGGAATGTAAAAAAATAGAGAATCATGTGTGTAATGTCTGTCTCTGTCGAATAATAATGAATTTGTACCCAGCTGTGCCCTACATTGATTTACATGATACAAAAAAATTAGATGAAAATATAGAGAGAGTACAGGCTGCCCATATTAACCATTGAGGGTTAAAAAGATAGTGCAGCCTTACTTAGGTTATTAATAAATGATTATATTAAAGGGTCAGGTACCGCACACCACACACAGCTACGCATAAAAACATTCACACACACAACAAAAAAACTAGTAGAAAAAGAAAGACAGCAAAAGAAAGCTAAGTATACCCGAGTACTAAACAACGGAGAGCCAAAGCTTACACTAAGTTGTCTGATAATTCATATTCTGTTTCATCTGCTGAAGAAGCACAAAGCTAATCCAAGATTTTGAGACTCGAAATACCGTAAGATTTTCCTGCTACAAGGACTACAAGGCAAGCAAAGGCTTTGGGAGGCACAGGTGAGTAGTAGCTATATTATTATACAATGGCGGATCCATACCTTCAGATAACGGGAGGTGGGGGGGAGGGGTGGCGCCCGGCCATCCAGACCCTGAGATAAGGAGGGGGGTGGGGGGGGCAGGTCTCCAAAAAAATTTTTTTGGCCCTTCGGGCCTCAGTTTGGTCTCAAAATAAGAGGGGGGTCCCTCCCCTAGATCTGCCACTGTTGTATACAAAGTGGGCAGTTGACAATACAATACAATAAGAGTTTACAATACAATAAGAGTTTATTGTGAAAATACACTTAGCTACAATAATGGTGTGCTTTCAGATACGGAACCGAAATCGGGGTCAGTGAAAGCACGCCAGCTAATTGACAGGTATTCCACAAACACAATAAAATTAAGAGTTAAAAAACTAGATACGGAATATTCTATAATTAAAATTATAACAATAAAATCTTAATAAGTATATCTTATATCTAAATAAATACTAAATTCAATAAAAAAGCGTCGAAATTATAAAATTGCACTAGGTCAACTTGGCTAATGGATCTCTTAAAAGACTTAAAATTCGTTGTATTTCTAAACGTGTTCGGAATTGAATTCCAGAGTTTCGGACCAATATAACGGACTGAGTTCAAGCCATATGTAGTAGACTTTGGCTTGGGTAGCGAGAGGATATAGTCACCTCTTAAATTGTAGCTAACGTTCTTCCTATGAACTATCAGGTCTTGTATACTTTTGGGCGCTAAAGAATTGTGGACGGCATTAAAAATAGACAGTGTGATTTTAATTAATCTTTGTTGTTTTAAAGATGAGAGACCTAATGCGTTGAGAAGTTCCGAGTAGCTTGTGTACTTATCCCTGAAAACAAACCTGATCGCGCGCTCATTTAACCTTTCCAATTTGTCTGCAGCACTTTTACTACAAAAATTCCAGGTTTCACTGCAATAATTGAAGTGAGGAAGGGTAAATGCTAAATATAGGTCGCGCCTTGTTTCGAAGGGAAGCATTTTCTTCATTCTTTTAAGAACAGCTATTTGCTGTGAAAGCTTTCCCACATATTTTAGCAACATGATTGTCGAACTTCAGTTTGTTATCTATCGTTATGCCAAGGATCTCAAATTCTTTAGTCACTGGGATACTGGAATTTTCACACTTGAAATCAAGTTTGGCGTCAGATTTTCCCATCACAATAGCTTGATATTTAGAATTGTTCCTTTTCAAACCGTTCTCGTCATACCATTTATCAACAAGCTCGAGATCAGAGTTTATAGCACTCTCAACTTCTCTATAGTCATTATGAGCAAAGAAAATTTGCGTGTCGTCTGCGTAGCTAGAGAGTTTACATCTTTTCACGATGAACAGGAGATCGTTGATGAAAATATTAAATATCAAAGGCCCGAGGACTGATCCTTGGGCAATCCCTCTGGAAATATAATTCCAGCTCGAATATTCTCCAGCTACTTTCACTCGTTGTTGGCGATCGGAGAAATAATCCTCAATGATATTAGCAGTTCTCTTGTCAGCACCATATTCTTTGAACTTCTTCACAATGAGATCGTGTGGCAGAGAGTCGAAGGCTTTCGACAAGTCCATAGACACAAGGCCAATTATTTTCCGATCGTTCAGCTCCCTTCGCCATTCCTCCAAAAGACTGAGCAGGGCCGTATCACAGCCGTGATGCTTTCTATAAGCGAACACGAACTTGTGGAGAATATTCCTGAACCGGGGGCTGACTCTTGAATGAACGAGCGTTTCAAAGACTTTTGACAAAGATGGAAGAATGGTGAGAGGTGTGTAATTATCCTTGGACAGGCTGCAGTCTTTCTTATACACTGGAGTTATTTCGCCCTTTTTCCACTGTTTAGGGATTTTTCCAGCGTCCAGAATATAATTAAAGAGAGTGCAGTACGGCTCACACAACACTTCAGCAGAATCTTTCACTTCCCTCGCGGGAATAAGATCATGGCCAATGGCTTTATTTGTTTTCATGTTACACATGATTTCCTTAATTTCTATGGGGTTAGTATAATTTAGGGTGATCTGGCCGCTGGCGGAGTCGTGTGGAAAATGTGTGAAATCCTTCATGCGTTCAGTTGTTTTATCAGTGCCGACAATGTTTGAAAAGGAATCGTTCAAAGTTTCTGCAACTTCACGTGGCTCCCGCATTATCTGATCGTTCTCCTTAAGAACAATACGGCTATTGTTCTTTTTCTACGTGAATAAATGGTCCTACTCCTGTTTCCCAAAAAATGTCATTTGTTTAGTTTGTTGGTACAAGCAAACCTCTTTGAGATCTTAACAGCGTCCAAAGAATCCGCAATCAACAGTTGGCCAGGTATGCATAAGTAGGCAGTTGTTTAAACAAAGGCTAAAACAATCCTGCTTCATTGTGCTTCTTGAGTCGTCGGAGGGTAGAAAACGTGCACCCTGGATGCTACAACTGGTGTTCAATAAAATCTTAACATTTCCACTTGACCCATTTTGGGTTGAGAAACATGGCTGTGGTGGTGGTAGGAAAGGGAGGTGGGGGCAAGAACCCCCCCGCAAAGAGCTATGACTGTGGCTGAGTTTGTCTACATGATAAGCATATTTTGCATAATATTGCCAAAATTTGTAATAGTAATGAGTATAATATTGTAATAAATTGATACAATAATGTAATAGTAATGATTATGATAATCATTATAATTTACATTGTTAGACAAAGAAATATTTTTAAACTTTCAGTATTCTGAACATCACTCATGTTCTTAAACTACCGTTGTAAATGGTAACATTAACATGTATGACATTTAGTTTGCACAGAACTTGAGCGGGGGAAAAAAATCCCAATTTCCGACTGTACAGAACCTCTGTTAACCGACACCTCCTATAAGCTTACATGCACCTCTTACTAACAGACACTAATCTGGGTTCACAGCAATTAATTTCTATGTTAAAAATCTGCATTAATCCAAACTATTGTAAGTAAAGACACCTTTTCTTGGTAACAAACATCCTAACAGATCGGTCAAATCAGACCTAAAATTCTTTGCAGAATAGTTGCCCACATGATAGATCATAGCTAGCAAATACTCCTCTCTCTATGGGGCACTTGGGTTGAACAGATGCCTTTCACAAGCAGCATAATTCCAGAGTAATTTGGTCAACACTTTGATACTGAATAAGAAAACAAATTAACATATAGAGGGAGAAAGGAGGATCAAGAGTGCACCAAAAATCAATCCTCCAGTCAAATCACACAGTCAATAAATTAATGCACAGGAAAACTGAAGGGAATTTTAATGATGATCAAACAAGGAAAAACAATCTTACTGTTCAATAATATTACTTTTCCATGTTTGTTTTTGCTTATGAAATTCAATAGCATCTGCCCTACTTGATCGAATGACAGAGCATTTTCTTTTTTTCTAGAATGACATGCCTTTACTGCAAAAGAAGTTGAAGGAACAATTGCAGCAGAAGAGGCTTTAAGGTGCACTTATAAATTAATATTCAAGCAAGACCTCAAAGAAAACAGGGAGTGGGGATTATTTACAGAGAGGGAAGGGTTAATGCAGATGGGAAGATACCATTTCCAAATTCTTTGGACCCTCCCCTTTCAGTTTTTACAGGACATTTTTGACAAAACAACAAGAAGCCAAGTCAAAACTCTGAGGGGTTACTTAAGTTGAATTAAAAATATTGATTCCACCATTCATTCATTTTGATTTAGTGTTAAAGAAATCTTGCACAAACCCACTGACCTGATAGGCAACCTTTCCCAAGAAATAACTTGCAGATATCATGTAGATGAAGACTTCATAGTATCAATGGCTTCGAACCAAAATGCACAGTTAATGCACATTTTCATTTGCAACCTTAATTACAAAGCATAAAATAAGTAAACCTAAATAAATAAATAAATCTGACAGAATTTATGTAATCATGGCTTCAGTGAGTGTCTACAGGTCCTATGCTAAGTGTGTCCTTTGTACCAAGACTTTGATCCTCCCCACCCAGGACAATGGGTGACTGTTTGTGCCTCCCACTGAGCTCTGCAATAGTATCAACAGCAACAACAACAAATCTTTATTAATAAACAAATAAACTTACAGACGTATTGCCCGTAGCTAGCAAGGCTATTCGAGGCGGGACAATGCGTGCAAAATATAAAACTAGAGGCTAAGGCTATCAACATTATCATTCTCAGCAGAGGCCTGATTCAGCTCAGTGGCTGGGGCAAATTAAGAACAAGGTACTTGCCAGTCAAAGTCTCTAGTGAACACTGCTGCTTACTGAAGGGGTTGTGTCAAAATAGCCCCCTCCCTACCCCACGAATTTTGGCCCCCAGGCCTGATCCACCCACCCACTGTTAGGGCGAAATCAGACAGAAATATTATTAAATAATATTATTATTTACAGCCTCATATTCTGCGCATTCTCTTGATCTTATAATGGTAAATGACAAAATAAATGAATAACATAACATAATAACAATATTGATCCTTCTCCTCCAGTGTGAAATATAAGTATGGCGATGTTTACACTGTACATGTATTCAATAAGGAAAGTGATAATGTATAATTGTCACCTGGATACACAGCCTGGTGATCTGGGGCCATTCAAAGGATGTTATTCAGTAACATCCACTGAAAGGTCCTTTTCCCCGCGGAGTAAGAAGAGGCTTGAAACGTCAAAACATCCTTTAAACGGAGGCAGTGGCATCTTCTTATTTGAATTGATTGGAATCAATCGAGGAATGATCGAAAAAGTGACAAACCCTCTCACCAAAAATCAAACAGGTCGGATATAGACTATCGAAGTGCAGATAAATCACATATTTAACTTGAACGTGACGTCATACGTTTACGAAATCCGACCGAAGATAAGAGGGCCTTTCGACGGATGTTAGGGTAAAGGTTATGGTTGACACTAACCCTAACCCTAACCCCAAGTTTTACTGACACCCCTTCGACAACCAAGTTTTCACTTGAACATAAACCATGGAGTCGGAAGCGGAATCAGAACGCTGTTTTCACTATATCGTTAAGTCTTACTCCTCTGATTACGACTCCAACTTCGTTGCTAGTGAAAACCAGCCTTTAGTCGTTCAATAGGGCCATTTATACGAGGAAAAATAAGACGCGTCTTAAATAAGACGCCAACTGTACCATTTATACCAGCATGTCTTGTCTAATGAGACGCGTCTTAGCTAAGCCGCGTCTTATTTTAGACGAAATGTGCCATTTATATGGAAAGTTCGCGTCTTATTTAAGACGTGTTTTATTTTTCCTCGTATAAATGGCCCTAATGTTCGCGTCATTGTTAAGTCTTTTTTTTTTTTGTCGTTTTGCTCGTCCTAGTTTTTCGTCTAATCTCGCTATCGTCTTGTAAGTATCTTGCTTGTATTTCGCCTTTTTTTAGTTTGCCGTATTGCTTTCGCTCAGTTTTGTAGTTATTTTATCTTGACTTCGTATTTGTTTAATGGTTGTTTTTCATTAACGCTTCGCTTCATTTCACTTCGCTTCGATTACATCGTTTCGCTTTGGTTCGCCTTGTTCATATTGATTGTAGGAAGTCTAGAAATAAGTTTTGTGAGTGGAATGAATTACAACGCGTAAAGGCTGCGACTTTACTAGAACGTACGTGCTGTGGAAAGTCCTTTCGTCACACTCAATACAAATGCCCGAAAATAGTCGGCATCAGTGGAAAAATTAGCATAACGTCAAAACAGTGAATGTTGTAACGCGGATTTTTGGCCGGTTCGCAGGCTAGGTTCTTCTTACAAATTTCAAGGTGTTGCAGTGAATCAATCTTAATGGCGAAATTTTCAGACATCGTGAAGATTATGTGACGACGGTTTAAAACAATTTCTGTCGAGCCGATATACAGCCGAGCCAAAATTTCCTAGCATTAACATATAATATTAAGCTGCATTCTGATGCTAGAGTAATTTGAGTAATTTGAGTTCTGTAGAACTTTGTATTTAACATTTCATTGCGGCTATTGAAAATATAAGGTTAGAAATTTATTTACGTTTTACTTGAAACATACATATTTTTTTACTCAGGGAGGTTATTTACTAAACACCACACTTCAAGTTCCTAGTGTCGGCTTTTCAGTACCAGGTCTAGATCCCGGGGGTCCGGGCTCTAGAGCGCGCAAAATTCCGCTTTTCAAAGCTTTTTGTTTATTGTTATCATAGTGATATCGATTTTACTAAAAATGGTGTTTTGACAAACTACAATCCACAATACACTGGTTTTATAGCGATGCGGACAAGTATAAAATCATTTTTTAAGGCGATTGGAAAAAAAACAGTATGGTCTCCAAAACACTGTATCGAAACACCTTAAATATCATTTTAAAATATTCTGTCATCCTCACTATTTCTTCATCTTTCAGGGTTGCAGCACTCTGTGATTATGGCTCCGCAGCCTTACGGTTTGCCACTTAATTTCAAAACTTTGCCAGAAACATTACAAGACGCTGGTAAGAAAGAGCTTTTTTAAATGTTCTCTACCAATTTGAGAGCGAAGAAAACAAGCCCCAAAATATAGGATTATGTGGAACTCAATCCAACTTTCAAAATCAAATATTCTATTGAAGATTTAGACTCAAATGCCAAGCGAAAGATTTTTGCTTTACAGTTGAAAGATTCTACTTTGCCTGTCCTGGCTAAGTTTTGTCAATCGAGGTCACTTCAGCTTTCAAGTATTTGTTAATTTTCGTAAATTTCTCTCCCACGGAAGGTGTTTTATGCTACCGAAACTGGGTGTGGGGTCTCTGTGACTCCTTGACGTCTTGACTTTATCTCTTATTTTGGCTTAGTTCGATAGTGCCCTGTTTATTGGATCGCAGCCTGTGTGACAACCATTTCTGTGCGTGCGAGCCAGTTTGGGCGAGTGACCCGAGTGAGATAATCGGGGGTGTGATATTCCCGTTCTGGCCCCACTCTCTCTGTCACACAACGCAGGCGTTGCGTGACAGAGAAAGAGAGAGAGAGAGGACAGACCTGGACTAGGAGTGTGAGTGAAAGGGGAAAGGAAAAGAAACCTTCTTTCCTAGCCCCTTCATGTTTTGGCGCTCACTTCGACTTCCAAGGCGCAACCTATCTAACGATACCCTGGGAGCAGGGGCCCTTCATTCTTCCTAGATAAACCCGGAAGAGTCCCTTCCTCTTCCCGACTTATCTAAGAAGATGGAAGGGCCTCTGCTCGCAGGGTGACCTAACGAATAATGTAACAACAAAATTAAGATGAATGAGGGCAGGAGTCCATAACCTGGAGCTTGCAACTCCCATACTTGGCTTATAGTGCAAAGGCGTTTTCACAAATCACTTTATTTTTAGCATCATTTTGCAGTATTTTTTCCCACGAAAATGGAAGCACTGCCCCGTTTGTGTGCGCAACCATAGTACGATAATAATGATAATAACAATATCAACACGTAAATGCTGTCAAACATCAGAAAAAACTATCTCCTAGTCTCCGGTTTTTCCTGAAGGATTTGTAAGACTTATTTGATAGTCAAAAGTCGCGGGAAAATCGATCTAAAAATGAACTGTTCCGTACGTAAGAAGGCGGACCGTTGCACGGGCACAAGGGAATTACTTGCTCCGGGTTATGGGCACCTGATGAAGGATAGAGATTAGTCGTCACAAGTCACCACAGGACAGCCACTCTGTTTGGGTAGCACAAGGACAACTTCGTAAAAGCGCATGCTCATTAGTGTTGTATTCTCATAGGTTACGCCACTCATATGGTTGGTAAATGGCATCTTGGTTTCTTTGAGTGGTCATACACTCCGACCTACCGCGGTTTCGAGTCTTTTTATGGGTTCTACACGGACTGTGAGGATCACTTCGAGCATGAACGCCTCGGGATTCTGGATTTACGAGACGATACACTCCCTGTGCGGGACAAGGATGGGACGTACTCAGCCAACCTCTTCACCAAGGTAGGAAAGAAAAAACGAAACAATGAAGAAACTAAATCGAATTAAAAAAGAACAAGCAATAAACCAAACTTCAGGGTGGAGAACAAGTCATTTCGATTTTGAACAAAACCAATTTGATGTGAAGTATAAAACCAATTTGTTTATGTACAGATTATCTGGAAACGCGGTACAGTCGGATCTCCCGCTACTTGCATCTCTAGGATACGTATACTAAACCAGTGGTTTAAGTGTTTTTCGCGCGCTCTGATTGGCTACTCAAACTCGGGATATCCGGTTCTATTCGCTGATTCACCTCCAGCTCCTCTAGCGAACGACGCCAAACTCGCGTAAGTTACCAGCAAAATGGCTTCCCGGTCTGCTGCCGTAACAAAGAAATTTCACAAATAATTAAACAGGCTGTTCCCGAATTACACGGATCAGGTGACGGAATTCCCTTTGGAAGTTTTAACAGGTAAAGCTTTGTCTGCCGCCTGGATAGCTCAGTTGGGAGAGCGCCGGTCTGCTGAGCGGGAGGTCGCGGGTTCAAACCCTGGCAGGACAAACACCCAGAGTCTTTAAATAACTAATCATCTGCAGTGCAGTGTTCCTTGCCATGTTAACTTGCTGGCACGAACAGGGGTCTTTTTTGAATGAGCATGCGCGACCGCTGACTTGTCAAAGAGCACGCGACCAGTGACAGCGACCGTGCTGCATAGTCATAGGAACCAAATTGTTCACTTTGAAAGCTTGCTTGAGATTGAAATGGTAGCAGGAACTTAGGAAATACCTTCGTTGTACGAAATAAGTAAAGATCTGTTGATTTAAGGTGGAGACTGATGCGCTGAACGAGGTGAAAGAGCAAGTTTCTCAAGGATGTCTGACACGAACATGGCTGTTTGTTGTTGTTTGGCGCTCGACTCGTGTCTTGATTCCCCTTTAAGAACCGCAAGGTTTGGCATAGAATGCATTGCTGATGCGTAGCTACTGAGCAAAATGTTCTTTATTTAGTGTTTGTCTATAAATCGGATGTAAAACAGTTTCTCGATGCCATCGAGGATTTCAATCAATTATTTGTTAATAGCTGATTTAGCCATATTTCGGGAGTGAATTAATAACGATCAGCGGGCGACTACCACGCCGTTTTCTGTTGGAATAGAAAGTTTTTGCTTTGAGGTATTTTAGCGATACAAAGTTTGTTTATAGGAAAATTGTAGAACTTCTTGTTTTTGAGTGGACTAACATTGTAACGCATCTTTTACAGGAATTTGCTTTTAGCCAGAACTTAAATGTTCTAATGATTTTTAACTTTTGGTCGGCATCACATGTTTACTGTACTTCTTGGGAAACCTAACCGTTTGTTTCATCAAAATCGGTCACAAGATTGGACTTTAATTTCGGTCCTATTGAATGCAGTTTTGAACGGTGTCTCATTAATATTCATTTTTTTATTGTTCGAGACATGCAGAGTGACTACCACCAACATCTCACCAGGTGACTAATCTACGTCTCGTGTGCTCTTAATTTTGTAGCGTTAAAGTGCTGGGAAAATTGTAGAACACATATTAATTCACTGCTGAACTGAACATCGGCTTTCGAGCACTTCGAGCCCAGTCGCTGAAATTTGCTATTTTTTTTTTAATATTTCTCTTCCTTTCCGATTTGAAAACAAAGAAAATTGAAAGTGTTTAGTTGCATCAACAAACGTTTCTGCACTTTGTTTAGACTTTGATGAGGTCAGCGCGTCCTCCAGGCACTACATATACGCGCGCTGTTATCCAGGTCAAGTGGGGAGATGAAATTTGATAGTAGCTCGTGTGTGTTCAAGCCGGCCTACTTCGCTTTTGTTAAGACCATGTTAGAGTTTTTTTTGCAAACTACACATTTTGTTAAATCACGAGCACATTCGCCAAGACCAACGAGCAAAATAATCGCTATGATAGCTTTAAGACGCGCCATTTTGATGAAGGCAAACCCTGTGGTGAGCCTCCATGCACACCGCTTGTTCAGCGGTCGCGCATGCTCATGCAAAAAAGACCCGTGTTGCTGGCACGTACAGTTTTCTAAAACTTTTGATTTCCTTTTTTCCCCCATAAATTAACTTCTATTTCCAGGCAAAATTGGTCTTTATGAGGAAATCCCGAGTTCATAAAATGGCGTCAAAGCGTCCTCCTTTTCCTCTGTAGTGGTCAACAAAAACATAATTGCTTCGAGCGTATGAAAGTCAACTACAGTAAATCACTTAGCAATAAAATCACGCTGTTTAAACACCATGGAGTCTTTTCTTACCTTCAAAATCATCAACCCTGGAATATTCTTGTATTTTAAAAAGGTTCTTACTCTGAAACTTGGCAAAACACCCAGTTCACGACAGCGATTTTGTTTTGCTTTATATTCACCGCCTAGCGCGGTGAATATAACGTCATAGTCCGAGATAGCGAACCAATCAGATTGCTTGAATCACCAAGATCACTGAGTGTGTATATGGTAAATCATAATAAAAGCAATACTAAGCCTTAAACCAATAACATGACAAATAGCCTTTTATCTTATTAAAGGGGATGGGTGAGTTAACCTTCGGACGTACACGCAAATTCATACCCCCACCGTGGTACAAGGAGGATTTATGGAACCCCTCCCCAGAGTTTGTGATATGTTGCAGTATTTCGAGACGATTTTGCCTTCAGTGGAAACCCTTTGATCTTCTCTACGAGATGAGGTATATTTTATGGGTGGTGGCGCTGCTGGAGGCCTGTGACTTCGCCAACAATGGTCGCCATCTTGACTGCCATCTTGAATTTTACAAAGAATTTGAATTTAGGTTAAAACCGCGATAAATGGTAATTTTTCGTGCTCGACATGAAAAATAACACTTAAATAAGCACTGTGCATCATTTCTTCTACAATTAGCTTTACTTTTATTGTTTAAAGAATTTGAAAAACATGCAGTTTCACTCAAAAATGGCTTGACCACCTGCTACTTATGACGTCGTATCTGGTAGCCATAGTAACAGACCATCACTAAACTTCAGTTTCAAAATGCGTGCAAGGGATAAACCAATAGCTACTGAAAACGGCAGGTGCTGATGTTTGCTCGTTTAGGAAAAAACTTCAAAAAACCTCAGAGGGGGGGCCCCTCCTTGTACGTTCGAGGGTTATGAAAAAATTCAGTAAACACAACAAAAACGAAAAACATTTTCCATCCAGGTAAATACCTTACGGAAAATAGAGGCGAAAAAGAACGTTATGAATCAAAATACAACACCGAACCCTCCAACAGCTCGTAAATATAATCAATGATAATCAATGATACTCTTCGGTGCCGGCCAACTTTCTTTCTGTCTAAAGGGAAATCGAAGTCCTACTTGAAAAATTGTGCCGGTTTTTCTGTTAACCGTAAACTTATGTTTGCTTATCGGACCTGGACGAACTGTTCAGTGTAAATCAGCCTTTACATTTATACAACACAATATGAAATAATATTTGATAGTAACGTTTACTACAACATACTGTTTTTGTCCTCTAGGGTTAGACCTGAGACGGAGTATGCATTTCATTTTCCGCTACGAATTACTATATAATTTAGTGTACACAATTCAAACTGTGGCAAGTAAAGACAAGGCCGTTTACATCTCTTATATCTTAATTCTAATACACAGCAAGCAGTTCAAGTTATCAAGGAGCACAGTTCTTCAAGGCCTCTCTTCCTGTACTTGCCGTTTCAAAATGTTCATGATCCGGTTCAAGCACCTCAAAAATACATTGACAAATACAGCTTTATCGAAAACAAGACGAGGAGGACATATGCAGCCATGCTGGATATTGTCGATGAAGCTATTGGTAACGTGACAAGGAGCTTAGAAAAAGCAGGGTAATATACATTGGTTTCCTTTATTTTCAGCTCAGTTCGTAGAGCGCCGGTTTGCCGCACCGCGTAAGCAGTGATTCGAACCGTAAACGGAAGCTAAAACAACCGAAGTCTTATGAATCTTGGCTAGTGAGGTCGTACTGGTTGTGATGTACTTCAATTCAGTCCATACTGCTTTCGAGAGAGAAGGTGGCGTAGAGTTCGGCTGTGTGGTATAAATCAGTCCTCTCTACGGCATATATTGTGGGGGTTTGCCTCGTCGGTATTGTACTTCAAGACCCTAAAAGTGCCCCTGACATAACTTTACTATATCAAATTATAAAATAACTAAGATAGTACGCGCGCTCTCATTGACCGACAAGAGTGTTTGCATGAGGGTATGTAAACATGGTTGTGGCGTCAAGATGTTTTGCTTTTCGCGCGCTAATCACGCAAGCACGAATTTGAAAAAGTTTTCAAGTTCAAAACTCGACAAGTTTACTTTATTTACCCATTCCTTCGTCGGCTGAAACTTGGAAAATCGTTAAAAAGAAAGTGTGTCACTTTTTTTTTGCGTAAGCTGACATTTTAAGCGAGAAAAGCCTGTATTTTGGAAAGCATCCTTTTGCAAAACAAGAACTGATTACGCGTGCAAGACTTCGTGGACAAGACTTTGCGACTGGTAAGAATTTCTCTTTTAATCAGTGCCATAAAAAGAGGTTTGCGTCTTTGCTCGGAAAATTTATTTTATAAAAGCAATAGAAAACTTTTTTTCCTGTTTTTGCATAGCCTGATATAAACACGAGAGGGGTTGACAGTTATGCAAACCCTCGACTTCGTCTCGGGTTTGCATAACTGTCTCGAATTCTCCCAACCCCTCTCGTGTTTATATCAGGCTATGCAAACACGGAAAACGTTTTTATTGCTTAAATGAAACACCAATTGACTCAGACGGTCCAGTGTTTTTATATTCTATTTTTGATGACCCAGAAGTGAAACGGTTGCGAAAATGATGTTGAAGTAATTGTCAGTTATACTGGCCTTCGTCGACGGTATACTCTACATATTTACAGAAGGGGTGCTACGTAATTGATACGCACTGTACCACTAGCGAAGGCAGAGAATAAATACATGATATCATTATCAATTATCATTTCACTACAGTCTTTGGGACAACACTTTGTTCATCTTCACCACTGACAATGGAGGGCTTTCTGAGTCAGGAGGTTATAACTGGCCTTTGCGCGGACAGAAGGATACTCTCTGGGAGGGAGGAGTACGAGGGGTGGCATTTGTCCATGGGCCAATGCTGAAGAGAACAGGCGTGAAAAGTAAAGAATTGCTTCACTCTACGGACTGGTATCCCACACTGATCAACCTCGCAGGTAAGAAGGAGGGAGGGAGGGGTCCGAGGGGGGTGCTTTTTGTCCATCAGCCAATGTTTAAGAAAACAGGCGTCAAAAGAAAGGATGCAGAGTAGTGCTTCACTCCACGGACTGGTATCCTACACTTATCAATTGTGGTAATAGTTAGACATTGTCAGTCCAAGTGCGAAAACACTATGAGCAAGTTATTTAAACGGAGTTTAGCCACTGTCAGTTTGCCGAACGCTTTATGTAAACACCATTTATTGTCAACAGTGTCATGAAAGCATATAGCGTAGACTAGACAAGCGTTTGTCCTCTTAAAATAACCCGCCGAGGAAGAGGAGATCTGGAGGTCCGAAGGTTTCCTAAACTTGCGGTCTAACTTAGATTTCGTTTAAATAACCAACCCTATAAGTCTTGCTAGACTGGAGTACTGACAATTTGACTAATAATAGACGACAGTTTAACTGTGACAAAAGACGGATCGAAACGCACCAATTACTGATTTCGAGTCTTTATAGCCAATAACATCACGGCTTAACTGACAGACGACCAATAACATCGCGACGTAATGGACCAACCAGATCGATAACCAGAGTACAATACCATCAACTGACGTGATACAACTCACTTTGACTCTGAAGATGACTACCGCACAGGATGTCGAAACGTCAGTCACTGTCAACAACGACAGTCCTATTCAGGACTACGTTCATCCGGACGATCAATCTCAACCTACCTTTTGAAATGACTCCTGGGTTCAAACCTTTCACCACTGCAAAAAATATACATCTACTATCCTCCAACCTGCGATCAGGCGTTTTTGTTTGCCCACGGAAGACATATTAAATAGTGGAGCTCTCGATGCGCGTAGCAGAACACCATGAATAAGGAAATTTGGTTATCTATGCATCCAATTTTGTTTCTGACAAAATCGTCCGTTTTTACATACGTCGCTCCCTCATGTTAGCGGTATGTGAAATGTCTTAATGTATATTACAAAGCATATACAAATTGTGTTTAACTTGATATTGGAAATTCATGTTATGATCAATTGACATCTGTCAAAATAGGGCATCCGGCGACAAGTGTCACATGACTGCAATGCGGTCTCGGGTGTACAGCTTATTGAGTTGACGTGTTTTTTAAAGTTCTCCGCTGACCAGTTATGGTAATCAAGTGATCACAGAAAGTCTTCAGAAAAACTTTATTTTAGAAAGTTCTCACGAGTGCTTCGCTTTTGGCCTTGGCTAAATCTATGTAGTAAAATCCAACTAGTGGTCTATCATCAATGCTGCGTTCTGATTGGTTGAGCTACTACTAGGCTATATGAGCGCGGGCTTTTTGAAGACAAAAAAGGATTAAAGTCTAGCTTTAACTAGCTAAACGTTTTTTATTCTCGATATTTTTGACCAACTAGTTGGATTTTACTAAAACAATTATTCCTCTCGCCCTCATGGCCTCTGAGTCAATAGTCCATTCGGGCTCGAGGAATAATTGTTAAATATTAAAGATGTAGAAAGGGTAGGATCGCAGGCTAACTATCGTCGATGTAGCAGGACAAAATACGAAAATATTGCGAATCAAGTTTTATCGAACATAAGACATAATCAAGACCTTGATTCTTTTAGGAGGAAAAGTCGATAATAATCCTGTACCAGTAGACGGCTTTGATGTATGGGAGACAATTTCTGCAGGCAAGCCATCTCCAAGAACTGAAATACTCCTGAACATCGACTTAGCACCAAAGAAGAAGCGTTACCGAGACGATTATGAGGGCGCAGCAATTCGTGTTGCAGGAGGAAAAGTCGATAATAATCCTGTACCAGTAGACGGCTTTGATGTATGGGAGACAATTTCTACAGGCAAGCCGTCTCCAAGAACTGAAATTCTCCTGAACATCGACTTAGCACCGAAGGAGAAGCGTTACCGAGGGATGGAGTCTATTGACCCCTATTATCAGGGCGCGGCAATTCGTGTTGCAGATATGAAGCTATTGGTGAGCTGTCCGAATTCCACTTGGTTCAAGCCACCAGAACTTTATAACAAAGAAATGGTTAGTAACTAAAGGTCTTTCATGAATATTTTTGATGAACATAATCTGGATTCCCTACACGAATCGAATCCATAACTTCCCAAACACTGGGTGACCGCTCTATCCACTTAGTTTCGAAGAAATTCATGAAGCCCAAAGCCAATTACTGGGTGGTTACTTTCGAGTTTTTACTGTGTCATGCATAACGAAAGGATCAGCGATGTCGAGGGCGCACCTATTTTACGGTCATAAACAGAGAGAAAGGAAATAAACAGAGAAAAAAGAAAAACGTTATTCTCGTTAAAAAGTAAGAGGCCTTCTAGGTGGTGGTGTGAAGTTTTCGTTGCCGTGCAAGGGGTGAAAAAAGTTGATATATCTCCAACAATTGAAACTCTGTTGTTTTGCCTTGAGTTAGGAGACAACGGATGTTACTAAAACGAGGAACGGGGAACGGGGAACGGGGAACGGGGTACGGGGAACGGGGAACGATCACGAGGAACGAAATGAAACATTGAAACAAAACCCTAGCCTTGAACCCTCCCCTATCAATAACTTCATTTCATATTCTCTGCATTGTTCCGATTTTTCAATTTCCCCTTCTCCGTGCTCGTTTAGGCCCCGCTCCCCGTTTTAGTAACATCCGTCACGTACGGTGGCAACTAATCCGTGTATTTCCGTTTTTGTCATTTGTTCTAATGTTGACAAAGGACGGGTACCTTATTACATGAAATTTTCGCGACACGTTAATTTCACGAATTTCGCGATACAAAAAATGGCGAAATTAAAGTGACGCGAACAATAAGTGTCGCGCACATAACATGACGCGAAAATTAAGTGACTGGCATCATGTCCATAATTAAGAAAGAACAAGTTTATTACCACTGAAACGTTTACAAGATCTGAGGAATTTTCAGTGTAAATGGACGTTGTAGTCAATTGACTCAAGAACGATAATTCACGTACAAGCATGAACTGCTTGTGGACATAGTGAGAACTGCTTTGTTACTGTTAAGGATATAAGAAATAAATCATAAATGAACTGCGGAAATGAAATGAAAATGAAGAAGTGATCTTCGCAGTGAACGCAATTTATGCAGTTGGGTAAAGAAGCCTGAAAAAAAAATCAGGACTTCAACGGGGTTTCAACCCGTGACCTCGCGATTACCAATGCGATGCTCTACCAATTGAGCTATGGAGCCACTGACGTTGGGAGCAGGTCAGGTGACTGTTGACACTAGTCTCGCTGTTGCATTTTTCTTACTTTTGACGTTATTGTTCCTTTGATAAAGGAATTATATTTAATTCAAGGAGATGTTAAATAACATTGCCTATAAAATGTATATTGTTGTACTCAAAAATGCGAAATTAAAGTGATTCAAAATATAAAATTTTCAGAAAATCGCGAAACTTAAGTGTCGCGAAATATGCGCACATCAAAATTGCGAAGTAAACATGTCGCCAAAATTTAATGTAAGTAGTTATCTCTTTTTACCATTTTCAGAATTCTCAAGTGAAAGGTTTTATTGAAGTTGCTCTTTACAATATCACAGCTGATCCTACAGAACACAATGATTTGAGCCAAAAATTGCCTGACGTCGTCCAAAAATTGCAAGAGAGACTGGAGTTTTACAAACGTAGCGCCGTAACCCCTCTAAACAAGCCCGCAGACGGCCAGGCTTGGGATGTTGCGCGGAAGGATGGCATTTGGACGCCTTGGAGAAGCACAGTGGACGAGAAAGCCCAATAAACATGAGATTTACGTGGGAATTTGTACGGCATTTGAGGTGTTAAGTATGGGATTGTCTCAGGTTAACAAATACCGTAAAATTCCGAAAATAAGCCTCTCCATGTATAAGCCCCTCCAAATATAAGCCCCCCAAACCGGTAACGCAAAACACCCTCCGTTAAATGGCCCCTCCAAATATAAGTCCCCCGGGGGCTTGCTCTTGGAAAATTACCCTCGAATACAACGTAAAACAAAGCAAAAACGGTAAATTTACTTCCAACTATAAGGCTAGCCCAATCGAGTTTGAAACGCAAATTTCCCTCCGTAGATAAGCCCCTGCGAATATAAGCCCCTCCAAAAATAAGCCCCTCAAAAAGGGCCTTTGAAAATATAAGCCCCGGGGCTTATTTTCGGAATTTTACGGTATTTACTAAAACAATGGGCATAATATGAGGAAGGGTGAAATGTTATCAAGGTTTAAGTAGCTCGAATGGACATTGTGGTGCTTGTTAAATTTGTTCACGCCTTAAACAGGGCGCTTGTTCGAGAGTGGCTTTTATTGGAAAGTTGGGTGCCACAGATAACTGCTTCTTTGCTTCTTTTATTCATTCTTCAGTAACTGACAGAAACGTCTCTTGATTTTGATTGCTTTGGGGCTGCGACGCTTATTATTATTTTTTTTTGTCCCAGCTGAGCGCTTATTCGAGGGCAGCGCTGTATTCAAGTATATAAGGTAGTTGTAATATTAGTCATATTGAGCGAACAAATGCTAGTCATCTCTACCTCAGAGAGACCAACAACTCTTCTGCGCAAGAGTAAACGTCCATCTAAAATCAGACTAAAATTAATTAGTAAAATCCAACTAGTGGTCTATTATAAATGCTGCGTTCTGATTGGTTGAGCTTCTACTAGGCTATATGTTATAGCCCACTAGTAGTGAAAAGCGCGAGCTTTTTGGCGGCAAAAAAGGATTAAAGTCTAGCTTTAACTATCTAAAAGTTTTTTATTCTCGATATTTTTGACCAACTAGTTGGATTTTACTAAACAATTATTGCTCTCGCCCTCATGGCCTCTGAGTTAATAGCCCATTCAGCCTTCGGCCTCATGGGCTATTGACTCAGAGCCCATTCGGGCTCGAGGAATAATTGTTAATTACAATGATAGCACATGAAGGTAAATCGTTTAGTAAACAACAGTTTATTTTCAATAATGGTTTGGTGTCCTGTCAAACTGTCCTGAGAGCACTTACCGATTGACCACACCTTAAGCGATAAAGAGCACAGGCCCTGAAATCAATCCCTTTCAGAAAAAATTAAGGATAGGAGTTGACTTAGGCTCAAAAGTACCCAAGAAGGGAATTAAGATCAACGCGACTTCACAAAGTTCAAAGGCCTGAAAATCCGTCTGATGCCCCTATGCTACGCCAAAAGTCACAAAATATCAAAGATGCATCTTTATAATTCAAATCCACAAATTCCCTATCAAGATTGACATCAACTTGCTTTTTGAATGTGTCAAGATTGTAGAATTTAATTTCAATTCCCACGTGTTTCTTGTCGTGTATCAAGACATACGTTTTCTAAATCAAGATGCTTGTTCTTTAAATCAAGAAGAGAGACGACAGTTTTTGATCAGTTCTGTTTCGGAGAGGGACTGAAAACGAGAACACAGGTTGGAATTCAAGATGGCTTCTAATCGTTTCTATATTCCGAAATCTAAGTGAATTTTTCGAAGGTTTGCTCTCCCTTTTGCAGCACTGCGGGGACTTTGTGAAAGAAAAAACCGCTAGGGGGCACGCAAAATTTCTTGCAAGATGTCAAGAGGAACATCAACGCACTTTGTGTGATTTGTGGGTAATGTATGGTCGAGTTACGGAGTCGGCCAAGGAGAATCAACTTACTCAGGATTTGGAACTATTAATGCAGGTAATGGACTCCAGATTACAATCACTTGCAAAACTAAACAGTGACTTTCATTATCAAGGCACTACATAAGAGTCAATTACTACGCAGAATTCACAGTTATTTACTCTCGGAAGGTCAGGTAAGGCTGAAAGGCCTAGATATGAAATGAGGCAAGAGCAAATCCATGGACTAAGAGAGGCATTGGGGTTTCGCTGGGTAGATATTGCAAGGATGCTAGAAATGTCTCCGAGGACACTTAGTCGGCAGAGGCAAGAATTTGGTATGCCACTCGGTCAACAGCATAATTTTTCCTCCTGGTCCGACACCTGGACAATATTGTGAGAAGCATTCTTTCAGTTACTCCACTGTGAATTCTACGTAATACTTGACTCTTCTGTATTGCCTTCATAATGAAAGTCACTGTTTACTGTTGCAAGTGATTGTACTCTGGAGCTCATTATCTGTATTAAAAGTTCCAAATCCTGAGTAAGTTGATTCTGCTGCAGTAGTCCTGGGCTGACTCCGTAACTCGACCATGCATCACCCGCAAAGTGCGTTTATATTCCTCTAGACGCCTTGCAAGAAATTCTGCGTGCCCCCTCATGGGTATTTTCTTTCACACAGTCTTCGCAGTGCTGCAAAAGTGAGATCAAACCTTCGAAAAATTCATTTACATTTGGAATATAGAAACGATTAGAAGCCATCTTGAATTTCGTTTTAATTCTCTCTCGCGGAAACAGAAATGATCAAAAACTGTCGTCCCTCTTCTTGATTTAAAAAAACATACATCTTGATTTACAAAAAGTATCTCTTGATACATGACCAGAAACACGGAATTAAAATTAATTAACTAAATTAAATTCTACAATCTTGACACGTTCAAAAAGCAAGTTGATGCTAATTGTATCGATCTTGATGGTGAATTTGTGGATTTGAATTATAAAGTTGCATCTTTGATATTTTGTCACTTTTGGCGTAGCATAGATGCCCATTAATATTTACAAGCAAATTCATGATACCAAACTGGTTTTAAACGTTTGTAATCGAAAGATTCTACATCTATACTGCCTTGACGGAAAAAATTACAATTAATTCTCCAAAACCTACCCTGCCGTTTACAGTAAAAAACCTTAGGCACTAAATCGAAATTTTTTCTACATATTCCCATGTGAATATTTCATTCATTGTCCATTTCTCTTTCTAAGCTAAGTTTTGCAAATGACTCACACTTGCAATGCAAGAAAAATCTAAAAACGGACAGCTAGTAAAAAAATAAGGAAAGCTCCGGATTTCTCTAATGGGCCTCTTCCGAGTTCGTAAAACTCTTATTTTTAGAACGAGGCTTAGTGCAAAACCCTATCTTGTGAAAATGACTTATATTTGCATGAGAATAAAGGAACATTTTCATATCAATGGCTTCGCACTTAGCCTCGCTTTGAAACAGAGGCTTGGAGCAACTCAGAAATGGCTCATTGCGAGGAAGATCACATCCACGGAGTCCAGGCCCCATTCTCCTTTGCTACTTGTCGCGCCTTCGGGTCACCTGGTTTATTAGCAGGAGGTAACGCACCACTCATGTACGACTGCACTCGATCTTGGAACTTCTCTACCATATCCGGGAACTTTTTGCTGAGGTCGTACTTCTCATATGGGTCAGCGGTGATATTGTAGAGGGCTACATCGACAAGGGGAACTGGAGGCTAAAAAAAAGAAATTTTTTGGTACTAAACGTAGCAAAGAAAAAATATTAGATTATACAGCTTGAGCCTTAACAAAACAACAAACACATTTTCCACATTAGTCATATCGCGAAGAAATAGTGGACTTCATTATATTAGTTATTTTTTGACCACCAAGGCGAGCAATTCAAATATACGAGCGCTTTAAACAATCTCCGAATAAAATAAGAAAGGGTCTCATTTGGCTCATCAGTGTCATTCGCGCAGTTTCGAAGGCTCTAAAATGACAAATCCACGGAATGAATAAACTGCAACTCAGTCCGTATTCAGTTTCAGCGAAAACGGACGTAATTAAGGAACTGAAAAATTGTAAATAAGCTAGGAGAATGAGTCTGAGCATGTCTTACTTTGTGACCAGTCTCACTTGTGGAAGATATCAGAGGATCGAGTGGAAACTTGGGAACGAGCTTTTGAAAGCGAAAGGCACCGTGGGAAGATTTGGTTGACCCTTTCCATGGCCCGTCTGTTTTCTGTTTTATTTTGTTTGTTTGTCTGTTTGTTTTGAGGGGAAACAGAGAGAACTGCAAGCCCGCAACCTGGAAGCAAATATTGGCCACAAAGAATACCCGAAGGGACTCCAAATGAAAGCTGTGTATGTCAAACATATCACACCACGTAAGGGGATCCGGATTCTGAAATGTAGGAAAATTTTTGCCTTGGAATCCGAAATCCTGAGCGTTGGAATCTGGAATTTAGCTTAAGGAGTCCGGAATCCCGCTAACAATCCACCGCACCGTACCTAAAAAGATGGCGACTGGTACATGTACCCACAGTTCTTAGCGCATGAAAACCATAAAATTGATCATAAAAACGCACAGAAAAGTTTTATAAACTTCAAACCTAGGATAGGCAATGTTGCTATTACAGGGACAAATTTCGCCCCCCCCCCCCCCCCAAAAAAAAATATGACTTTATGTGTAATTGGCCGTGTTAGGTTCGAAAGGAATTGTGGTAAAATATACAGCCGCCATCTTTTTCCGTAGGGCGGATTGGAATCTAGAATCCAAGTTCCAGTACCAGGAATCCGGAATCCACGACATGGAGTCCAGAATCCAAGAATGTCTTGGACTCCCGGCCCTTACATGGGGCGATACATAACATAGCCAGTGCACAAAGGACTAATATATCTTCAAGAACTAACTTACACCTTCAAACTCGTACAAATACACTTCATTTCCTTGAGAAGAATTCCGTTCTTCGGGTGGTATGAAGTAAGAGATGTTAGGGACCCCCATGAGAAGTTTCATGTCTCCAACACGAAGACCAATTCCTTGATATGCAAAGTCCAACTGGTGTGGAACAGAAGGAGTGTCTACGTTATGAAGAATCTCTGTGCGAGGTGAAGGATCACCATTAGAAATTGCCTTCCATACATCGTGACCATCAAGGGCAGCGAGTTCCTCCTGATCCAATTGCCCACCTAAAATATATTGTACCCGACAGACAAGTGAGTTTGTTTACATGAGATGTTAACCTTTTAAAAATATAAAACTGTTCTAGTGAGGCCTTAAACTGCTGTTTAAAAAGTAAAATCCAAAATCCAAGCTTTCACTGATCAACGGCATCATCAGGGATGAGAAAATATTCCGCGCGCGCTATATATGTGCAAAGAAAGTGTGGGGTGAAATGTGTAAAAGATGTGAAGTATGTATGAAAGCTATAGGGATAAATAAACTGTGAATGGAATACAACGCTCTCATGATAGAATGTCTCAAGACAAAGCACCTCTCTGAGATAAAACTGAGAAGACCTGATGGGCTCCTGGGTCAAAAGCACTGTAGCCATGTACTCACCAGCCAGATTAACTAAGGTTGGATACCAATCAGTCACGTGAATAAGTCCTGTACAATTCACTCCTTTCCTGGAGAGAATGTCACCATGTACGAACCCTACCCCTCTGATTCCTCCTTCCCATAGAGTGTCTTTTCTTCCCCTCAGGGGGTAGTCGTATCCACCGTTTTTAGGCACTCCACCGTTGTCAGTGCTGAAGATCATAAGAGTGTTCTCCCACAACCTTAAAAACAAGATAAATAAAAGAATCGTTGGTTTCTGTTCACTGAAAAGAAATAATAGAGAGCTTTAGATTCGAGGACGTGGACTACGAGTATATGAGATTTTCTCAATACTAAGTATTGCGCACTCGTGAGCCGGCGTCATTTTGGCGGGAAGGCGTTTGTATACATGTATGTATGTACGCAAATCTTTATTTATACACGGAAAATCATCAGTTAAGCTTAAGTTAAAAACTTAAACTAACGGGGAAACGTGATAGCCGTCGCCATTGTACAACCTTCAGTATAAATAAGCGTACTAACTTTTTGGTGAAAATGAAGCATTCAGGGATGTATTTTTTTAATTTCGGGAACACGCGCAAAAACTTTAAGTTAAATCTCGTACTCGTACTCGATCTCGTCCTAAAATCTAAAGCTCTCTACTTCCGATCACATTTGCAATTGATCATTGCGAGCAATGACAGTTTTTGTCGTTTTAGTTCCCCCGGTTCGTCGCTAACATGAACCCGGGGGAGGGGGGAGGGGGGAGTATTTCGGAGTGAAAGTGACGGGGATGATCGAAAAAGGCGCTGAGGTAAAATAAATACTCCTGTGAAGTTCTTAAACAAACGAAACAATTGCGAAAAAAGGACGCTTTCTGTGCAATAAATTTAGTGAACACGTGCCATATATTTTGATTTTTAACTATAATTTGATTTAACTTTTGAAACAATTGCCTGTTGTAGTTTTAAACTTTCTTCCGATCAAGCTAAAGCAATTCCCTTTCGGGTAACACGCGACTCGTTTATCTTAATGCCAGGTCACTTTTGTTTCCTTTAGCGCTCACAGAAATAAATGGGTTTAGCTCTCGGGTTAAATTACAATCAGCAAAGGTCAGACTTCCTGAATCTCTTCGTGCCTTTACTGAGGTTTTAAAAGCATTTTAAAAAGCCCTCACTCAGTAAATGGAAAGTTGTGAGCCTGCAAAGAGACGTTCAACATGAAATCGCCGACAGAAAACACGCACACAAACGGAAGAAAAACATTCATTGGCTTGTGTTCCACCTCCTGCTTCCTACTGTCTGTCGTTTGCTGTATCGCACTGTTTCACGTGGAATTCAGAATACACGAGCAACATCGACTCATATCACAGTTAGAAACATTCCGTCAAGAGATTCAAAGAGAAGTCGCTCAAGTTCAACAAGATTGCAAAAAAGGGACAGTAACGAAAAGCAACCATCCCGACATTTGGCAAAATACAAAAGGTGGGTGAAAACGAACAGAAAGAGGATATAGGTCACTTTTTGCTAAACCATGGTTTATCCTTTCACGTGGTTTAACTAGTAAACATCGTCGGAGAAACCAAGTTTTTCAGTTACCTATTGGAATCAACTACAGAATACAGGGCCATATTTTAAGTTTTAAAGAACACAGAAAGGGATATATGTTAGTGGCTCGGTGGCTCGTCATTCGAGGTTAGCATCTTAAAGAACGAGAAAGTCATACCGCAAAATTCCGAAAATAAGCCCCGGGGCTTATATATTTCTAAGGCACTTATTGAGGGGCTTATCTACGGAGGGAAATTTGCGTTTCAAAATCGATTGGGCTAGCCTTATACTTGGAAGTAAATTTACCGTTTTTGCTTTGTTTTACTTTGTATTTGAGGGCAATTTTGCAAGTACAAGCCCAAGCCCCGGGGGCTTATATTTGGAGGGGCGATTTAACGGAGGGTTTTTTGCGTTACCGGATTGGGGGGCTTATACATGGAGGGGCTTAATTTCGGAATTTTACGGTATTTTAGTGGCTCGCGGGCTCCGTTCCAACGAATATACCTAGAAAATTGGCCCTGTATTCTGTATTCTGTTATTTAGCTTTTCAAAAAACTGTGCGAGCTTATATGTAGTTCCTATATTCTAATATTAGAACACTACGCACATTTTTCAAGGTCGCAAAGTTATATACAGAGAAAAACGTGATTCATCAGATGCCTCTCAAAACAAATCGGTTACAAAAGCCTCCGAAGTAAAAAAGCTGATCAAAAAAGAGCTTCGCCTGTTGCAGAATAAAATCTGTGCCAAAGATGAAAAGCTCTGTCAACCAGGACCAAAAGGTAACACTGGAAGACGGGGAAGACGAGGACCCCAAGGTATACCGGACCCCAGAGGGAGATCCGGCCCAGCAGGGCCTCCCGGTAAAAATGGATCAATAGGACCACAGGGACCAATGGGTATAAAGGGGGATCGCGGATTGCCAGGTCTGCCAGGACCTCCTGGTCCCAGAGGTCCGCCTGGTGAGAAAGGTGCGCCGGGACGATCCATCTCAGCTCCCTCCTTGTTACAGCCTCCTGTTGAAACGACAATCAATGCAAGTCTGACAGCCATCTTGAAATGTACAGCGGCTGGAAATCCTCCTCCCAAGGTCACATGGTTTAAGGTGAACTCAACACTTCCTGTCGGACGTCACGTTGTAGACTCCAGTGGCGCTCTGATTCTTCAGGATATTAAACCCGAAGACGAGGGCCAGTACACCTGCAAAGCTGAAAATTTGATGGGAACCATCAACGCCAGCGCACGGCTAACAGTGCAGTGTAAGTTGCATTAATTTCCTTCTTCAAGATTTCAAGACGTTTTTTTATCTCTCTCTAATACATTTTCTGACATGTTGTAGGAGTATTCTAACGGACACTTACAGATAGTCCCTTCTTGCCGTTCTTCAGTTACTTTCGCTGACTTTCATTTTAAGATACACAACTCTCTAAAACAATCGGTCAGCAATGATCGCAGCGGTGTGATGCAGTATTTTGTTTGCAGAATAAACATGTTTTCTACTTCTTGCCCATTCCACCCTTTATTGAATTGTCATCACTTTACCTGATCGTAACGTAACGTAAATGAAATATAAAGAAAAACAATAGTATAAAGCTATGCCGGTGAATTTGATTCATTAGTCATGACCTTTTTAAAGGAACTGCGGAGAAGTCTTAATCATGAGGAAACAAGTTTACTTTGATCTTGAGGGTCACTGTAAGTGTTCTCCTAAAATAAACCATTTTCCTTGGCATTGGCTGCATACGATTGGTGAACTACAAAAAAATTAGCCATTTAGAAGTCTAATTTTAAAGAATGTTCACGTTCGCTTACTGATAGAGGTGACCGCTGAATAGGGGTCAAGTTTAAAACAAATAAAGGGGGCAAATTTCGAGTATTTCATGAGTACTATTTTTTTGCCGGTGCACGTTGCCGTTGTGCAAAGGTGTCGTAAGAGAAGGTTCGACTATATTTGCTAAAAATTCCACGATATTATAATAGCAGTGAGTATTCTGTCACCAGAATAAAAGCGATTTATCTATTTCTTGCCAGTTGGTCCCCAGATATTATCGTCATCAAATCGCCTGATGGCTGAGCAAAAGCAAAACTTCACCATCACCTGCACTGCCACTGGTCAGCCTCAACCCAAGATCACGTGGTCCAAGGTAGGAGGAGATTTGCCAAAAGGAAGAAGTGAGGTAATGAAAGACGCTCTGACAATCTATCAAGTGACGAGAAACGACGGTGGTATATACACGTGTAAAGCAGATAATATCCTGGGAACAGCGACAGATATGGCTCAGTTGATGGTTTTTTCGCCTCTTCGGTTCAAACTTCGACCACCTCAAGAACTGACTCCTATGGCTGGCTCAACTGTTCGCCTACCTTGTGTAGCCGAGAGTGACCTGAGACTTACCATAACTTGGACAAAGGATGGATCCCTACCTCCTTTTGAATCAAGAATTCTTCAAAACAACACTCTAGTTCTAAACAGCATCAAAATATCACATAAAGGATCTTACACCTGCAGAGCGAGTAATCCTTTGTCAACAATAGAAACCAAAGTAAAAATCCATTCTCCAATTACACTTGCTTCCTGTTCTGAGATCAGAAAACACGTCAGCAGTGTAAGCGGAAATTACGACATTGATCCAGATGGCGAGGGGGGTCTGGCACCATTCACTGTTTATTGTGATATGACAGCTAAAAATGGAGTTGGGGTGACAGTCATCAGTCACGACAGTGAAAGCAGAACATACGTGAAAGGATATGAGGCTAAGGGAAGTTACTCGCGTAACATTCGTTACACAGGAGCGAGTCTTTCTCAGCTGGCAAGTCTCACCAGTGTGTCCTCGAATTGTGAACAGTTTATCAAGTATGAATGTACAGGTTCCGCTCTCCTTGAAAATGGCGCCTTTTATGGCTGGTGGGTGTCACGTGATTCCGCTAAGATGACGTACTGGGGAGGAGCATCTGGCAATGCTAAGTGCGCATGCGGGATGACTAACTCATGTGCACACGCCAGTTATGGCTGTAACTGTGATAACGAATCCTATAGATGGCATGAGGACAGCGGTCTGCTCACTGACAAGACGACCCTTCCTGTAAAACAACTCAGGTTTGGGGATACTGGTGACAGCGGAGAACAAGGTTACCACACACTCGGAAAACTAAAGTGCTTTGGAACAGCATAAATAGATGCTAGTTGTTGTGATTCCAAACTCGAAAAGTAAAACAAAGTATGTGTAACCTTAATAGTTCATAAAGAAACCTGGAGAGAGACTGACAGCCATCCTTGTTTAACATGTACAGTGAGTACAATAGCCCACGTTCGATATATTAAAATTCTAACATGACTCCAAGGCTTTAGGGTCAAAATTGCAAATTTTTTACGACTCCATTGTCTCGCAATTCCCAGAAGAGACTTGAGGGCAAAGAAAACCACACCAAATATAGAAAAATGACAAGAAGGCCTCGGAGTCATGTTAGAATTTTAACATATCGAACGTGAGCTATTAAAACCCCGTCGAACATCCGTAGGTTAGCTCTTCTCGCTTTTTCACTGATGTTTATTGTAAACAAACTCTCGTGGTTCAACATATTCATCAAACTCTAAATTCTTTTCACGAGAATTAACACCAACCGAAAATAGGGACATGGTACTAATAATTGTCTTTTTCCCCTTGTACTGAAGTATCGATATGATTGTTTTAACGTGCTTTGGAAAGTCTTGCAGGTCGTGTTAGAGAGTAATAAGCAATAGTTTAATAAATGTTTTTACGTATTCTGAAAAATCCTGTCACTGTTGTCGACGGTTGCTACTAGGGACTTTAAGATCCAACGACGCGACGGCAACGAGAACGTCGCTTAAAAAAGGAATTTGCGTTCTTTCAGTTTATCGCAGTTATTCCTACCTACTCACTTTGTCAAATGTAGGCGAACCCTCCTGGAGTTGAATGCCTCGGGACCATATCCAACAAGTGCAGAAATAGAAACAAAATTTCGTCGTTGGTTGTTTACGTACTCCATAAAACGCGAAATTAGGCATTTTTACGTCGTAGTCGTGCAAAGCCGGCAAAGAAATGTACAAAAAAGCGTGATGCACGTGCAAAGTTGTTGTTTTGCTTATTAAACCTATTGTTTTTTGACGTTCTTGTTGCCGTCCGCGTCGTTGGATCTTAAAGTCCCTACTATCTCATTTGAGACCTTTAAGAGCTGCCACATCACCCAGGTTTTTAGAAGGTTTATTTTAACTTAATTACCTGCATACAAAACAATCTCCGGTCATAATTCAGGGTTGGTTATAAAAGCATAGTTCAAACGGTTAAAACACTTTTAAATTTGACAAACCCTCCCATCTAAGCACTGTTTGCTATTAACAGCGTCAAGAACGCTCACAGCCTAGACTTTTTTTATCTTCTTAAAAGTAAACACTTCACCAACAGATTTAAAGGTCTTATAAATAACGATAAAAAGTGTAAAACTTAAGCTCTGTTAAAGCTCCACTTTTTAAGTGTTATTTATAAAGTTAAAATAGTTTGGGATAAGAAACAATCTCAAATTCCAGTGTGCGAATATGGTACGTTGGTTGAGCGACACGGGTGGTGTCAAAATAGACAGAAGAGAAGCTATATTTTGAAGAGAAGTTATATTTTGTTAATTTTAAGATCCTTTGAGGTTTGAAAACAACTTTTTCACATCAGTTGTGGGCCTTCTGTTGTTCCTGAACGCAAAAGTCTTCATGGTTAAGCATCGTTACCCTACGCGCACCACTTGACCCGGCAGGAATATGAGAGCGCGGAGGAATGAGGTCTAAGGGATTTACCAACGCTGGGTAGACAAAACGAAACAAAATGGGCGGAAGGTAATGGGCACGTGAGTTTTAGGCGTTGTAAAAAAACTAATGCCGCGTCTGTCACGTCTGTAACGTACCTTTTGTAATATCTTCCTCAGGAAAGACAAGGAAACGGACAAACAAGCTTTCAAGTGTATGTGTCGTAGGTTATATTCGTTCTCAGGTTAAGTCACAATTTTGCCTCCTGTGAATAATTAAGGCCTAGAAACAAAAAGAAAATACTGAAGAAAATTCGGTTGAATCCTTGTCAAAAATGAGAACGGAATTTACCTAGGACGTAAACCAGTGGTTAGTTTCTTTATATTATCACTTGACGACGCAAAGAAAATCCTGAACTTCCTAATTTGCCGCTCTGAGTTTAACGTTTAGAGGTCATGAAGCTGGTCTGTTTCATGCATATTGAGTAATTCATTTCCTGTGGTCTGGAGCGCGATGTCCTACTGTTCCTCCGTTCGCAATTCCTTTTGTTCTAGCTTGATAGTCCATGGGACTGTACTGGTAGTGCATTTTTTTGTTACAAGTGCCCAAAGCAAGACTGCAGTTTCGGAATTAAAAGATACCTTGTCTAAGGTCACATTTATTCTCGTTCAGCCTGTCAACACTATTTCAAACCGGATGTTTTCCTTAGCGAGTTCAGCCAACAACAAAAGGTTTTCTATTTGGGAAAGGTAATAGCCAATCAGAAAATACCTACCATATTCGCAAAAGTGGGTGACGTCACCGGGCAAATTACAACGCTCGGAATTCAGTCGTCTCTCTACCCCGCACCCCCACTTTCCCCACGGATTACTAGCTGGAGACGTGTGACATTTCAGACTATCCCGACCTCTCTTTTACTTGTCATTTCATAATGTCACTCATATTCGTTAAGATATAAGTAGGTCATTTGTTTAGAAAAGCCGCATGTCACGGGCCTGGTTATTCAATTTCTCGAGTTTCACAAAAGACATTTGCTTCACTGATTTCAAGGGCCATTAACTTACTCGGGTTTTCTGAAAACGTAGGCCCA